ACATCAGCCATGTACAACACTCTATCCCTTATTGGAGGAATAACAATTTTTTCATACCTTCCATCTTTCTCCCCCTTTCTAATTGATCATGAGGAGAAAAAGACATATTCATTTCATCTAATAAGCTGCAACTAGAAGATTACACTCTCTTTGTAGGAATCTTTTGAGAATAATAAAAATATGGAAGACATTTGAAGTCAATATGTCTTGAAGTTCTGAAATACATCCCAAGATCAACTCCTATTCTAGGTGAAAAGATTTAGCTTGAGCTGATTCTAAGATACTCTGGGTTCAAACCTGGCTTTCTCTGACCAATCCATGACTGAAAATAGAGTAAATCAGATAACTGCAATTAGGTAATTGTGTGTTCTTAAACTATACAAATTAAATAAAATACAACTGGTCCTGAACATGTTAATAGGGCTCAGTGCTTCCAAGAAAGTTTCAGAGTACTGCCTCCTCATGACCTCATCTATGAAGACTTCCTGTGCACATTTCCCACCTCTCACTCACCTAGACAGCTGTCTGGAGGGACTTCTTCCTCCATGCAGGGATCTTCTCCTTGTTGCAACCAGCAGATCACCTTTGGCATTGAAAATGAAATCCCTGCTCATGAGGAAAGAAATGGAGTTTGAACTGATGGCATGAAGAGCAAGCCCAGAACTCATATACCACTCACTCTGAACCTAAAAGGCAGCAATGGCAAGACTTGGGAGGCAGAGTAAGTAGCACAAGCTCTTGTGAAGAGCACTGAAGCTTTCAGGGAGTACATCAGGAGGCAAGTCTCGGTTCCTAAACAATATAAAACCCTGGCAATTAATGCCTCTAAGATAAAAACATTCCTATGTTTTTCAGAATCTAATGATTAGGGATCTAATCATTGACCTATTCCAGGGAGGAAACTTGGATTGGGGCTAGAGTGTGAGGAAGTGCAGAGGAAGGAGAGAATAACATGAAGAGCATCACACATAAATATGCACTTTCAACTCTACAGCAATTCAATCTTTCTCAGTAGCACAGTCAGGTAGAAAACTACAGTCTCTGAACCCCAAAGAGGGAGCTCAAACGTGTTCCTATAGCGGATTCATCATTATAGGCAAAAATCCTTACCCAGTGAGACCAGGTTGCTGTAGTTTTCCAGCATCACCTCCCGGTACAAGGTTCTCTGGGCAGTGTCCAGGTGCAACCACTCATCCTGGCTGAAGAACACAGCCACATCCCTGAATGTCACAGACTCCTGGAACGGCAAACCCATTCCTATTCATCCAGGGCCATCTTCTTCAATGGAAGACTCAGTGAGAAGGTGACAATGGGATGTGTAGCAGTTCTGAAAATGTCTTAGGATTCTAAGTACTCAAATCAACTATTTATGTAATTTTTTGGAAAAATTAATTAACTAATTAATCAGGTATTTATTAAGTACCTACAATGGTTTGAATATTTGTCCCCTCCAAAGCTTATGTTGAAACTTAGTCCCTAAGGTGGCAGTATTGAGAGTTGGGGCCTTTAGGAGGTGATTGGATCATAAGGGCTGTGCTCTTATGAATGAATTAGTCCATTCATGGATTAATGACTTAATGGATTAGCCACTTAGTGGCTTTAAAAGAGGAGACAGAGACCTGAATGAGCATATTAGCACACTCTTCCCCTTTGCCATGTGATGCCCTGTGCCACCTACGGACTCTGCAGCATCCCCATCAAGGAGGCCCTCACCAGATGTGTCCCCTGGACCTTGGACTTCTCAGCCTCCAGAACAGTAAGAAATAAATTTTTTCTTTTCATTTCTGAATAAGTTACCCATTCTAAGGCATTCTGTTATAAGTGACAGAAAACAGACAAATACAGCACTCACTGAGAGCAAAGACACATGCCATGTGCAATGGGGGTAGGGATAAAAAAATGCAAAGTCCTTGCCAACAGGGAATTTAAATTCCAGCCTGGGATCTTTCAAAGCAACTCAGCACATACATATTTTCCTCCTCCCTCCCACTCAAAATTCAAATTAAACAAAAGAAAAAATAAATAAAAATCAGAAAATAATTAGAGTAATACTAGAAAACTGGGGAAAATACCATCAGATGAACAGAAACACAAAGGAATTTCTGAGACATAAGGCAAAAAACAAAAATAGTATTAGTTAATATTTATTGAATGTTAGGATAGGAATTTTGTATAGAGTATCTCATTTAAGTCTCATAAAAACCTTGTGAGGAAGATACTATCATTAAATCACTTTGCAGGGCCGAGCCTGTGGCACACTCGGGAGAGTGCGGTGCTGGGAGCGCAGCAGCGCTCCCGCCGCGGG